ATGAGGGAGGACCACCCTTCCCGGCTAGGGAGGAAGGCAGCCCAGCTCCTTTACCTGCTCCTGTGCGGTCAGGCCAGCCACATACACTCATGCGCTTCCAGTAAGGAGCCTTCAGGATGGTTGTGAGCATTCAAGGTGATGATGTCTATTCAACATTTGTCCTCAGGTCACATCTGGAGCATCCTTGTCACTGAGGAGAGGAAACTGTTACCGCCCGTGGACTCCCCTTGGCACGGTGTCCAGGTTCTTGGCATCCCAAACAAAACACTGGGCGGGACACGAAAAGGCAGTGGTGAAAGCGCAGTTTATTAGAAGCGAAAGTACACTCCAAAGGGATAGGAGCAGGCCAGAGCAACAGAGGGGCTCAAGGGCCACACATAGCGAGGACTTTCTAGTTGCATTTCCTTCTGTTCTAGAACGGGCTACTCCTCTCTGGGTGTAGGGCCTCTTGATGGCCACTTATGATTGACAGGAGCCTATTAACTCATCTTTTCAGACTGTGCATGTTTCTTCCCAAAATTCAGTCTGTTATAATGATATTCATGAACTTCCGGGCATATGGATGATATTATAATGATGGTATAATGACGCTAAGGTGGAATGAAGGTTGCTGCAACCCTTACTGCGCAGCCGTGAGTGACAGGTCTAATTCAGTCAGGTATTTTGTATCCTTTAGCTTCCCCCATAGTGGTTGATGGTTATGGTAGATAAGGGAAGGTTTGGGTGGGGAGGGGAGGTCTCTGGGCAGTCGCTCTCCACAAGTCATGTGGGGCATGTAGGAGACCCAATTCCTATCTCTGGCTGCCTGCCTTAAAGCCAAGTGAAGGGAACTGACATGTAATGAGAGCCTACGGAGCTCGAGGCAGTGTGCTGGATGGTTTGCTGCCATCATCTCAGTATAATCTCCACAGCATCTGTTAGAGGAGGTCATTGAGAGGATGTGACCACCAGTTGGATGTGACCCTTGAGGTGGACCCGGGCTATCAGGGGCTCCTTACCCTTAACCCTGTCCTCGGAATGTATTTTCTGCCCGCCATTCCCATAGGCAGAGCTGGTTCAAGGACAAAGCCTTGAGAGAGTAAGGTGTTGAGACCATCTGGAAGGTATAGTGACTAAACCCAGGTCTCTGTATAAACTCTAAGATTCTTGCAGCCCTCTAAGACAAGCCTTGTATGTAAATTCCCTTGCTTATTAAACCTGCCCCCCCCCAATCTGGAGTGGTCTGCCTCTTTAATCAGTCTCTCCTTGCCCTCCGCATTCACTGCTATTGTTAAATGCATAAAGGTTTGCCTGTACATCTTCCTAATAGATAGGTTTTATCAGTATAAACAACCCCTTTGGCATGTTTAATGTGCGGCTCTTGGATTTGTTTTGTCGGAAATTAAAAACGCCATTCTTCAGCCATTTTTGCGAGGATTCCTGGTCCTTCTTATTGGAGAATGAGTGTTGAGAAGGCAAGATATTATTTCCGTATCTATCAAAACCATGAGATTACACCAGTATCGTCAGTACCTGTCCAAGAGCACAGAGATCACTCCAGATTTCCCTCCCTTTTCACCTTTCCATGTTTATAGCGCTCTCTGGCATGGAGAACCCCACCTCCCAGCATCCTCAGTGTGTTTGCTTATTTGCACAGTCTTCCTGTATATACTC